CAGGGTCTTGAAAATTTACCTTCTGCCGGTACCCAAATACCAGAGAAAGGGGATATTAAAACAGCATTTAAAGGTGCTAAAGACCTGACAGGCTTCAAAGCAATCATTTAAATATCATTTTATAGATTTTTGATAAGCCAGAGGCTGTGCATGCTACTTAAGTGTAAGAACACCTTGTGTTTTTCCAGAAAAGTAAGGAGAGGTAGGAAAGTTCCAATGAGTCTGGAAGCGTATGGAAGTTAACCAGTGAGAGAACAGAATGGACGATGATGCTGGGGGCCCTTTCCAAGGGAAAACCTTGACAGGATCAGAAGGAAATTAAGAGGGGCACCTGGGTGCCTCTGTTGGTTAAGTGTCTGACTTCGGCTCAGGTCATGATCTCATAGCTCATGGGTTCGAGCCCCCACGTCGGACTCTGTGCTGACAGCTCAGAGCTTGGAGCCTGTTTCAGATTCTGTGTCTCCCTCTCTCTCTGCCCCTCCCCTGTTCATGCTCTGTCTCTGTCTCAAAAATAAGCAAACATTAAAAAAAAATTTTAAAAAAAGGAAATTAAGATCGCTGAACTGTATAGTTAGAAATGGTTAAGATGTGGGGTGCCTGGGTGGCTCAGCAGGGTAAGCGTCCAACTCTTGGTTTCTGCTCAGGTCATGATCTCACAGTTCCTCAATTCGAGCCCTGCATGGGGCTCAGCACTGACAGTGCAGAGCCTGCTTGGGATTCTCCCTGTCCCTCTCTCTCTCTCTCTGCCCCTTCCCCTGCTCTCGTGTGTGCTTGTCTGCTCTCTTAAATGAATTAAAAATTTTTCTTTCAAAAAAAATTTAAAAAGAAATGGTTAAGATGGCAAATTCTATCTTGTATGTATTTTATCACAGTTAAATAAATTTTTTAAAAAAGGAAATTAAAATTGCCAGCAGCTCTGAATTTTGAGCTAGGTGCTGGCTTGGCCCAAATAAGGAGAACTTTGGTCCTAGATATTAAAACTAACAGAAAACTCAAAGGGTTCTAAACCAATGGTGTCCAAGGTATTTGGGTTAATTTTTCCCTTTCAGGAACTGAGGGAGTGCAGCTATTCATTCATTTAAAAAAAAATGAGTGACTCAGGGCACCTGGGCGGCTCAGTCAATTGAGTGTCCGACTTTGGCTCAGGTCATGATCTCACAGTTTGTGAGTTCGAGCCCCATGTCAGGCTCTGTACTGATAGCTCAGAGCCTGGAGCCTGCTTCAGATTCTATGTCTGCTTCTCTCTCTCTGCCTCTCCCCCACTTGCGCTAGGTCTCTCTCTCTCAAAAATGAACATTAAAAAAAATTCTTTTTAATTAAAAAATGAGTAACTAGCATGAGACGGACCTTGTTCTACAAGTTGAGGAAGCTGCCATGCACCAGACCCAACTCTCTCCTTGCAAAAAACACAGTTTGAAAGCAGGGTTTGTGATAGAAGTTGGGCCCCCCAAAGACAGGAGCCTGTGGCTCTGAACTGCCTAGGGCATAGACCATGTGTCCACCTAGAGCCTTTGGAACATCTCCATCATCTCTACGTTCTTCCAACCACACTGCGCTTATACTCTGAAATAGATATTGACCTTCCTGAATTCCTAGAATGCTCCCCTGAATGCTTTCAAGTCTTAGCCATAAGGGCTAATGTTTTATATCCTGCTTCCTAACAGCGTAGGGTATAATTAACAGCTGCTTCACACACCAGCCATGGTTAGTTAGGCCAACTCCAGATAATCACCTGCACTGCCTCGAAATGCCAAGCCTTGTTTTCAAACCATCTCACCACTGACTCAAGTCCTTGTTATCCAACCACTGTCAACTTGACTTCCTTGCTCTCTTGTCATAATCCTCGTCATTTCAAGCCTGTCACCCAGTCCTCGTTTTACTAACAGTATGGCACAGAAGGAAAATACAATTTTAGACACTGAGTCCCAAAGCAAACGTGGTAAGCGTGTTTGTTTTTTTTAAATATTTCCTAGCCAGCACCAAATTACATTCCTTCCCTGAACTCCAGGCCTTCAGGAGACTCCAGCCTACACAGGTCTCACGGTGAGGGGACACCAAAGAAAGGCTGCTGAAACACCTCCCCAAGTGCAATCGGCCTTCTGTGTGGTGTGGCCAGCAAAGCCAGGCTGTCGGCTGCCTCCTCATCCCCTGATTCACCCAGTCTGTGGCCAAAGGGGTTGCAGATGTGGAAATGCGGTGAGCTCCAGAACAGGAAGTGGGGAGAGCCAGCACATGACGCGCTGGGAAAAGACGAGCAGAGACTGCGATGAACCCATTACATCGAAGTAATTAGATGCAAGCATGGAACATTTGCTAAGAAACAGACTTTGGGAGTTTGGGGCAATGCTCCAACCTGAGGCCTTTCTGCCTTCTGAACTGTTACCTGATCTGGCCAGTGGGGTGGGGAGACTGCAGACGGCAACCAACTTGGGAGTTCTAGGGTCAAGCATTAAGCACTCATTTTCCTCCTAGAATTCTCTTCACGTAAGAAGCTGCCACACTCCAGCCCCTCCATCCGCCCTACTCTCCCCTCCAAGGCGAAGCTGGGCACAGATTCTGAGCAGCCTACTCCTTCCCTCTCAGTATCCCGCACGCAAACCAGGGTTCCAGAATGCCCGGGAAGTCCCTTAGCAGGCAGGAGGGGGAGGGGAAGAGCTTGGGTCTCAGCGGCTGTCTGAGCCGGCTCTCCCACCTTCTGGACCTGTCCCTGTCCCTGTCCCTTTGGCGAGGTCACGGGCCAGCTCGGCACTGGTTCCTTATCTGCTGAAAGGGGAAAAACACACGCGTACGGTCGCGGCGTTGACAAGAGGCGCGCAGGGCTCCCCTCCCCTCGCCCCCCGCGCCGGCCCAGCGCCCCAGGGGGTTGGCCCCGCCTCCGCCCCGCAGCGCGCAGGGAGCGCTCACCGCCGAAAAGCTTCTTGCAGGAGGGAGCAGGTGGGGCCGGCGGTGGACGAGGGGCCGTAGCCGATGGAGAAGTTGTCGGGGGAGAGGTGCAGCAGGCGCGGAGACGTCTTCACCGAGAACGGCATAGGCCACAGGGCCGACTCCGGCGCGGCGGAGGAGCGCGGGGCCAGCGCCGCCAGCAGCGCCAGCAGCGCCGCCAGCCCCAGCCCGCGGTGCCTCATGGCGGGTCGGCCCAGGTCTGGCGGAGCTGCAGCCCGCGCACCTGACCTCCGCCCGGACCCCGAGGAGGAAGCGCCGAGCGCGGGGGCGGCGGAGTCAGCTGACGGCGCGCCCCGCCCAGGCCCGCCTCCCGGCCTGTGGGACCGCCCCG